ACTCCCATCCCCTCAGTACACAGGGTTGACAGGGTTGGGCAACTTGGACATCGGCTACCCAATATGGGGGGTGGGGGGGCCTACAATGGCAAGTTTACAAGCTTTCAAGAGGGAGCCTCATTCCAGAGGATGCAGGGGAAGGTAGAATCTCCACTGACTGGTTTCCAATTGATTAGGACAGGGCTGATGAAAGGAGATGGGGATAAGACTCTTGTAGTACAATAGTGAATAATTGCTATCAGGACTGACTACAAGGGATGGAAATGTAAAGGTAGATGTTTTGTAACAAAAGGAGAGGAGAGGTTGATTTTGTAGTCCAGAAGTGGAGGTCTCTGGAACCAACAAGGGAGATGAGTGAAGTACAGGACCCTACCCAGAGAAGCAGTAATGCCAGAGATGGAGGCAGAAACAAGGACGTGGAGAGATGGAGTGGCTGGGGACTCTGGACTTAGAGAGGGAGAGGGGCTGTGTGCTGACGACCGGGGGACAGGCTTGAGGGGTGTACCCTTTAGTTGTTTGATGATGCATGGAGGGAACTGTAATCAATGCAACGAAACGAAATACGATAAGATGAATGTAAAGCTAATGTTTTCCCATGTAAAAGATCACATAATGCACAATAAAAACTTAAAAAAAAATTTTTTTTTAAAGAAACACTTGCTTGGCATACAGTATACAAACCCACTGCCATAGAGTCGATTCCAACTCACAGTGGCCCCGTATAGACTTTCTGAGGCCCTAAATCTTTAGAAGCAGAAAGCCTCCTGTTTCCCATCGAGCAGCTGGTAGGTTTAAACAGCCCAGAAAGTATCCTACAGGGAGGGCCAACAGGGTCCCTTTATAATACATAAGCAGATATATAGATATCACGTGTACCATAAAACTCTCTAGGCTAGCATGCATAGCTACTAACCAAAAGGTTGGAAGTTTGCGTCCACACAAAGGAACCTTGGGAGAAAGTACTGGTAATATATTTCTGAAAAATCAGCCACTGAAAATCCAATGAAACAGAGTTTTATTCTATCACACATGAAGTCACCATGAGTCAGAATCAATGACAAATGATTTTATAGATAAGCCCATAAATAATAAAAATATATAAATATGTATATTTATATGTATATATTTGCTTATTAAACACCAGTCACTTTTCTAAGAACTGGTTACAAGTATTAATTCACTTAATTCTCTTCACAGCCCCTTGAGGTAGATCAGGCAAAGAGAGGTTAAATAAAAGGCAGAGACAGGCTATGAACTCTGGCATTCTTGGCCCAAGCCTGGGCTCTTAGCCACCATGCTGTATTGCCTTTCCATTGTCCGGCATGTGATTGACAGAACAGAAAGAAGACTCAGTCACATGACCTCTCCAGACCCTCATAAAGACAGGAAGTTGGTATAGGGGCTATGTGACAGAGACATGCCATTGACCACAGGGGGGTCCAGCAACAGTCAAACAAAAGAGCTCTCTCTCCTGGAGATGGGAGCCCATCCGACAACCACCGCTGCATGAAGAGCTTGGGTTCCTGAGATGAGTCTTCTCTCAGTCGGTTACTGTTGTTGTGTGATTTTTTGGCCATTACGTCAACCCCACATGTACTAAATAGGACTGACCACTCCAAAGGGATTTCAAGGCTGTGACCTTTCAGAAGCAGATGGAGAGGCCTGTCTTCTGAGGTAGCTCTGAGTGGGTTCAGACCACCAATCTTTCAGCTAGTCGTTGAGTACTCAACTGTTTGTACCTCTCAGGGACTCCACATATCAGTCAGCTGTTACTGCATGCCGACCCTGAAACCTCCATGGCAAATAAGCATTAGCCTTTATTTCTCACTTCTGCACCTACAGATTGACTGCATTTGGCTGATCTAGTTGGGCTCTGGCAATTATGTTCCAGATTATGTTCCAGAGGTCTGTTATCTGTGACCAGTTAGCTACACAGGATGTGTTCTTCTTTGGCTCTGGCCAGAAGCACCTAGAGGGGTGGGCGGGATCACACAATGCCTCTCACACACACACATCTGCCCTTGTCCTGTTGTGAATGAGACACAAGGAGCAGATCTAAACTCAGTCGGCCTCCTGCCCTGCTGCTGCTGCTTCATTTCACCCGCTCTTGTTCACATTCCTCTCACCTCATCCTTGCATCTTTGGGATCATTCAAACTGTTGCCCTCTTTTTTGTGTGTAAGAGTCATTAACTGGCTTTTATTTAATTTTCAATCAAAGGAGAAAGTACAAAAACCAAACATCAGAAATCACGACTAACCACTGGAGCACGAAATAATTTGCTCAAGTCAGACAGATGAGAAATTTGAAACTCAGATCTGCCGTTTTTGACTGAGTTTGTTTGAGTGATCCTGCCCATCTAATTCAATACTGAGTGTCTCAGCTTCCTTGCCTAGAACAGAACAGAAGCAGGTCTACCAGTGCCTGCCTATCCTGTATTCTTACTATTCCTGCCAGCACCCACATCTCTTTCTTGAGAGCTCTTTCTGGCCACCGACACCCACTCTGCCCACACACACAGCAGAACAGAAACATGAGACAAAGACCCAAGCCCCCGCCCCCTCATGACATATGTGTTGTACACAGTCTCCCAAAGTCCCTCAGAGGGACCGAGCTCCGGATACCCACAGTGGTAACTTGGTTAATAACACCCTTTCCTCTCTCACTCCCCTAGATCCCTGTTGGTGTCTTCTGCATTCATTTCCAAAATAAACCACTTGTACTCCAGCCCACGGGAGCATGGAGGCTCTAGGATAAGTTGTGGAATTTGAAACACAAGCTCAGTGGTTCCAGCAAACCAGCTGCTCCAGGAGAGAAAGATAACGCTTTCTACTCCAATAAAGATTTACAGCTTCAGAGAGCCTATAAATTAGGACCAACTTGACAGCACTTAACAACAACAAAATTAAACCCAAGCAAAGCAAAATACCTATTTTTGTGAGGATTAAAAAAGAGAATGGTACAGCACTGTAGGATAAGCACTCAACTGCAAGGTCATCTTGAACCACAAGGTCAAACTCACCAGCTGCTCCTCAGAAACTCTATACAGTGAGTTGGAACCGACAGGACGTTAGTTAACAACAACAGCAACATGTAAAGTCCACAGACCAACACTGGTCTACTGCTGACCCCATAATGGCTTAATAAAAAATAAAAAAACATTTAAGTATGAGCCATGGTATGGACTGGCATCTTACCCTAGCTCCCCTCGTTTTTGCTTTCTGATGCTGATGGTGCTATACAGAGGAGTATGTGGGGACAATGTGTCTTCTCTTGTACAATATGTTGCCTTTTGGGAAAACCAAAGTGCTGGTCCCATTGCAGAACAAGTTTGGGCTCAATAATCACTGCACCTCATTACCCTTTATTGACCCCCTCATCTCATTTTCCCCAGGCTGATGAACTCCCAACTAGTTTTTACAGGGTGTTTCTCCTTTTTATTCCTAGAAAAAAAAGGAAAAAGAAGCTGATGCAATCAGAATTGTTACTGTGTTTTCAGTCTTGACATAGTATTTTTGTATCTTAACTACCTATCCTCTCCTTTTAACAAATGTTATTATCTAATTTTAGGATAAAGTTTACTTTTCTTCTGATTGGGAAAATGTAGACATAAATAGGGCCAGAGTTTGATTTCCTGAGCTGGTCAAATGATCAAGCATACACACACAGAAAGAAAAAGAACAGATAACAGCTCATTTTTCACAGGGCAGGAGCTGCTATCTCCTTCAGGCCCCTGCCAGTTATTCTGTGGGGGCCACTTCACAGCAAGTCCTGTTCGAACTGCTGAGCCCCTACTTAAGGGCTCTGAAGGATCCATCACATGATAGAAATATGCATGTGTCCAAAGAGCATTTCTCAAAATTCTTTGGTGACTACAAAATTCAAAACCTGAGAAAACTCAGGGAGGCCCAAAGGAGGTGGTTATCTGCGGTGGAGTCGGAACCCACTCATAGTGAACTTGTACAGGGTTTCCAAGGCTGTAAATCTTTACGGGAGCAGAAAGCCTCATCTTTCTCCCGCAGAACAGCTGGTAGTTTTGAACTGCTGACCTTGCGGTACACAGCCCGATTCATAACCACTACGCTACCAGAGCTCCTTAAAGGAAATGTGGACAAGATGCCAATTAAGACTTCAGTCCAAATAAATAAATTTGGGAAAGGTTAAAATATAAACAGCACAGCGATTAGAGACCGGTTCCTAGCTGACTCAGACTTAGACTCAGTAAATCTGGAAGCATAAGAAGCTATTACACTGCAGAAAACAACAGCATATATTAACCCTTAAAGCTCACATCTGACTGGGCTAAATAATGACAGATTCAATTGTCCAGAGTGACCAGGTGTGGGAAAGTTCTAGCACGGAAACTGAGGAAACACATTTTCTGGATGTCCTTGGTGACGAGCTCTTAAGACTACAAACACGGTGTCTTCAATTTCTAGGCATACGCCAGAGTTCTGAGGACTATATGAGAAGGAAAGTCAGACTATGAGGGCTCTGGATGCTGGACCGTTGTTTGGGTGTTTCTAGCTAGCAATCTAGCTTTTTGTGTTCTGAATTCTGGATCTTCTCTTCCCACTGCCTTAGGGCATTTGCCCACAGATGCAAGTCAGGAGCTGTCACCGCAGCTTAATGACCATCTGGAGCTGAATGAGCCATCTGGGTGAAAATTCTCTCTCGGAAGTCCAGAGAGAGAATGTGATTTTCCCAAGAATTCTGTTTTGTCACTGGTTGAGGTTCTGTGAATTTTGGTCCCCAGGACTTCATAAAACTTGATACAGTTACTGGCTCTGCGGCACTGACTGACTCCATGACAGAGATGGGTGAGGCTAGGCAGGGACAGGAACCACTGTCCCCTTCTTACCTCAACAGTCACTGCAGGCAAACAGGACTGTCTGCTCATTAAGGTTGGAAAGCTGGGGACGCAGAGAAAGATGGGAGGTATTTAGGATGGTTGAGGACAGGGTCTGAGTATGGCAGGAGGGAAAGTCAATCAGCACTCACCTTCATAGCAAGGGATCAGCGTCTTGCCTTTGGCCTGGAGGTTGGACGGGATGATGTAGCAGAAGCCATGTGGCAGGATGTGGTCTGATTCATAGTAGATGTTCTTCCAGCGATGGGCACAAGCCTACAGAGACAGAGAAGACTTTAGCGCAGGAAAGTAGGCCCCAAGAGGCTGCAAAGTAGATGTCTGGTAATACTAGGCTGTTCTGTAGGAGAGAGAAACAGAGGCCTAGAAAGTCATCCCCTCTCACACACATCCAGCACACCTCACGGCAGTCTCCCTGTGCATCAACAAACTTCATGAACAAGATAAAGCCCCTGTGCTTGAGCGGCTTTGATGCTATTAGGAGGAGACAATAAACATAAATATCAACACATGGAAGAATTCCTAAAGCTAGTGCTGCATGCTACACAGGAAAGAGGTAGAGGTGCGGATCAGAGAATCTTGGTGTGGAGAAAGAAGACAATTGTCATTTGGAGGTCAGGAAGCAGAAAGAGCCAACCACACTGAGCAGAGATGAGTACTCTGGGAGGATGCAACATCAGGTGCAAGGAATCAAGGCGAGAAAGGTTGGGAGGTTGGAAAGAAAGGAGCGCAGATGGCTGGTCTGGAGTGAACATGATGAGGCAAAAGAGGTAGAAGTTAGATAGGTGAGCAAACATCAGGCCACAGGGGACCTTGTAGGACATGGGACAAACTGGCATTTTAGAGTATATGCAATAGGAAGTTGCTGCAGAGTCTTAAGCAGATGAATGGCAAGATCTGATATCCAGTTTGGGAAGATAACTCAGCTTCCATGAATGTTGATGCTTGGATCCACCATCAACACTCATGGAAGAAGGGGTCAAGAAACCAAACAACATACTACATTAGGAAAATCTAATGCCAAGAACTCTTTAAAGCGTTCAAAAGCAAAGATGTTAATTTGAGGACTTAAGTACGCCTAACCCAAGCCACTTAACAACAACAACAAACCCAAGCCATGATATTTTCAATAGCCTCATATGCATGTGAAAGTTGAACAGTGAATAAGGAAGACCAGAGAAAAACTGATGCATTTGAGTTATGGTGTTGGCGAAGAATACTGAAAGTACCATGGACTGCCAGAAGAACAAATAAATTTGTGTTGGAAGAAATACTTAGAATGCTTCTTAGAAGCAAAGATGACCCGACTTTGTCTCTCATAATTTGCACATATTATCAGGAAGGACCAGTCTTTGGAGAAGGATATCATGTTTAGTAAAGTGGAGGGACAGGGGAAAAAAAAAAAAGATTCCTTCAAAAAGATGAGTAGGAACAGTGTCTATAACAATGGATTCAAGAATGACAGCAACTGTGAGGATGGTGCAGGCCTCAGCAGTTTCGTAACCAACTCAATAGCACCTAACAACAACAACACTTTAACAAGCATGATGTCCTTCTACAGGGGGTGGTCCCTCCTGACAACATGTCCAAAAAACAAGACTTGCCATCCTTGTTTCTAAGAAACATTCTGGCTGTACTTGTTTCAAGACAGATGTGTTTGTTCTTCTGGTAATCCATGGTACTTTCTTTGCCAACATCATAATTCAAATACATCAGTTCTTCTTCTGTCTTCCTTATTTATTGTCCAACTGACACACACATGTGTTGCTGCTGTTGTTAACTGCTGTCGAGTCTATTCCAACTCATAGGGACACTGTATAGGGTTTCTGAGGAGCAACCAGTGAGCTTGAACATGAGTAGATGGACAATACCAAGACTTGGACCAGACCTCAAAATGACAACCTTGATCTTTAACACTTTAAAGAGGTCTTTTGCACAGGATTTACCTAATATTCCACCTCGTTTCCTGACTGCTGCTTCCATGAGCATTGATTGTGGATGCAAAGACAAAATGAAGCCGTTGACAACTTCAACCTTTTCTTCATTTATAATGGTGTTATTTATTGGTCCAGTTGTGAGAATTTTCATTTTCTTTACATTGAGGTATAATCAATACTGAAAGTTGTTCTTGTCCTTTAGTGACTATACTAAGATATTTGACTGTGAATTATAACAAGCTATGGATAACATTGAGAAGAATGCTTATTTCAGAACACTAAATTGTGCTCATTAGGAAGTTATACATTGGCCAAGAGGCAGTTGTTCAAACAGAATAAGGGGATACTGCATGGTTTAAAACCAGGAAAAGTGTGTGCCAGGGTTGTATCCTTTCACCATACTTATTCAGTCTGTATGATGAGCAAGTCACCCAAGGAATTGGATAATATGAAAAAGAACATGGCAACAGAATTAGAAGAAGATTCATTAACAACCTGTGTCTGTAGATGACACAACCTTGTTGCTGGCAGTGGAGAGGATTTGAAACACTTACTTATGAAAATTATAGACTACAGCTTTCAGTATGGATTGTACCTCACTATAAAGAAAATGAAAATTCTCACTTCATAAAAAACACTTGGAAGCTTTATTAAAACACAGAATGCCGGATCCCACTCCCGAGACCCTGCCTCAGCAGGTAGGCCATGGAGCCAGAAAACATGCAATTCTCATAGGCTCCCAGGTGGTACTAAAGTTGCTGATCTGCAAGCACATTTGGGGAACTCTACTTTCGGGTCACTTCAAGGCCTTTATAGGTTAAGCCATACAAAATCGCCAACATTTGACTTTTTTACCTCCAAAAATGCTTCATCATTGTTATTGTTGTTGTTGGATAGGCATAGTGACCCCATGTAACAGAGTAGAACTTTCACACAGAGTTTCCTTGGCTGTAATCTTTACAGAAACAGATCATCAGATCTTTCTCCTTGGAAGCTGCAAAGTGGATACAAGCCAGCAACCTTTCAGTTAGCCACCAAGCATTTAACCACTGTGCCACCCAGGCTCCTGGGGCATATTTTTAACTAGAATCAAATATTGGTTAATGGTTCTTCTTTTAATGTTTTGTTGTTAAGTGCCATCGAGTCAGTTCCGACCCATAGCGAACCTGTATAGGGTTTCCAAGGTGCAGCTGGTGAGCTTGAACGGCAGTTCAACCGACCTTGCAGTTCAAACTGCTTTGCAGTTTTTTGATGTTTACACACAGCAAAATGCACAAATCTCAAGTGTATAATTTCATGAGTTTTGGCAAATGAACATGCTCATAGAACCAGACCTCTGACAAGATATATGAAGAGGCTTTGAAAATTTTGTGGAAACATGGATTTAAAAGATAATGGGCTTTTTGTCTGCAGCCTATAACTGACTGGAATTCCTAAAAGGGGTTTTAGAACTTGCCCAGTTCAATAGGCTTCTTGTGGAGCCTTGTAGTGTAGGGGACCTTAGGTGGAATACTGAGTCCCTTCCAGAACCTTCTGAAGGACAAGCAGACCAGCATGAAACAGCTAGAGTGACAGAAGATACATCTTTAAAGAAGGATCAGCAGGAAAATTCCAAAACAAAAAGGGCAGTCTGGAGAACAAAAAAGATGGTGGATCAGGTGGAAGTGCAGTAAGAAGCTCCGTCAGTAACAACACAGAATACAGGACCAAGCAGGCTCAG